GAGCAATGGTAACGTGGCGGCTGACGACCCTCCAAGAGGCACCATCTGCTCTGCGCAAGGGCTACTGTCTGGGAAGCACAGTCTAACGTTCTCCCTATCCCCAGCCCCTTTTTATTGTTTACGTTCCGATGGTTTCCAAGAGAAAAGAGGGTTTTATTTTTTTTTTTTTAAATATTTTAAAGAGAGTGGCACTGAAGCCTTTGCCCTGTGAAACCTCAGCCAGACAGGTGGGCATGGGGAGAACAGTTAATCAGACCCTTTTGTCTGTCTGCTGCTTTGACCCACTGCAGCCTTTTATTGCCCCAAGGCAGGATTCGCCATCGCTGCTGAACCTCTTGAATGATGGACATGCCGGGTCCTCAGATGGTGCGAACTTGAGACAGCGCAGGAAGCGGTAGTGTAGAGGAGCTATTTTTTAATTCTAAAGAGACATCCGTACTGTACTGGAACCAATAAGAACCTACCCAGCTCCCTGTGTCTTGACCTTGCTTCTTTTAGCCGAGGTTCCCAATGTTTCATAGTGGAAAGCTGCCTTGTGTCTCCTGTGTGGGAAATCCGCCGTCTGAGAAGCCACACCAGCGTAGAATGGGTCACGCGCCGTTCTGTAAAGTCTGGTAAACCTGCACAGCGGATACAACTCTATACCTGACTTGGCAAGGAAAAGGCTCTCTTAGAACATTCTATCTGCCATGCGGGCATCTAGGAGCATCGCTAAATCTCAGGCTAAGAACCTCATTTTGCCCATTAGCTGCTGTTTGAGGGAAGAGTATCACCCCTTCTTTCCAGACGTGCGTTGTGTGTTTGTGTGCACGTACGCTCGGATAGGCAATAACAAATATGTCTGCTCCTTCAGAAAGGTCCTCTCCCTGCCTTCGCACCTCCCCCCAGTCTCTGGTGTGCCACACATATTACTGTCTGTCCAAACGTCCACGCTGGGTGCTTTGCTTTGCCCGGGTCCGTATTGGTTTACATTATTGTGCGCTAAGGGATGGAGAGGTGTGACCTCTCTCCTATCGGGGAGGTGAAGACCCTGCTAAGAGAGCTGTTCAGAATGTCCGTGGCCAATTCTCTGTCCGTTTTGATGTGCAGGTGGATAGATGCTGGGGTTTGTTCTCACATAGGTGTCAAATCATTTGTGCATTAAATGCAGGTACCTCTGTCCGTTAGCTGTTTCTTGAGGGCGCAGAAATAGCATAAAAGGAAACTGCCACTGTTTTTAATTTTAACCGATAACCCCTGTTCATTTGAAATTGTGGTCCAATGACGCTTTGCTATTAACTATGTAATGTTTATATTGCGCTTTAAGTGCCCCTTGATAAGAGCTGTAGCACAGCGTCAAACATTGAGTCCCTGCACAGCGCGTGCCCAAGGGAAGTCCTTTGGGCAGGCAGGTTGCGGGTCTTGTTGGAACGCACTCTATCCTGGAAGCCAGCATCCAGGGGGTGGAGCTGCCGTATCTACAGCCGTGAAACTCCCAACGTTGCTTTGGTGCCCGAGCTCGCCTTGCCATCTCCTGTTTAGAAAGCGCTTCCTTGAATGTTGCAAACAGACAGCGAGGTCAGATTAAGAATCGCGTGGGCAAAGTCTGCGGGTGTTAAAACCCACGACGTACAATCCAGGGAAACAATGATTCTGTGGAGACTAAAAGGCAGATGCCAGAGCCATCCTACGCAGTGATACGCAGCTATCGAACGTGACCACCCTGTACGTAAAAGGGGCCGCTACTTCCTCAAAGTTCTGTCAACTGTTCTGTGAAACGCCACCTTTGGGGCTTGGCATAGACTCTCGTCCTCCACCAGGCTTGGTCAAACTGATTCTTCCCCCACTCCTATATTTCCCGAGAGGCCAGAGCTGGCAAAGGGGAAGGAAAGCTTTAGTTTCCCAGTATGCCAGTGTGAGTGATTCCTCCCAGCAGGGATGGCCATGGCTCTGGGAGGGTTTTAGCAGCTGTAGGGGGAGCACTTGCGTTGTTCTGAGGTGGCACCAAAATGGTGAGATGCAAACGATGCTTAATTTCTCGGCATCTGAGTGGTGGCAGATATCTGTAACTCTCCTGCTCACGTATCTGTAGACACACCCTCCTTCGGCAGATACTTAAGTCTATTTCCTCACCTGATCGCATACTTTAGGCAGGGCAGCACAGGGCACCAACAGTCACGTTAAACACAGGGTGTGAACAGTATTCTATAGCTTTGGATGATAACAGTATTTACGGTGTCCAATCACTCCTAAATCCTGCACAGGGAAGACACTCCATGGTCTCTGCATGGGGTGGGGTCACTTGTGCAGCCAGGGCATGTTGTTTGCCTGTAACTAGGAATATCAAAGTTGTTTCTTGTACCTAACCATCCCTGCTTCCTCCTTGCACTTTGCAAATTAAAGTGGACTCTCCAATCCCAAATCAGTGTGTTTTATCATGGCTTTTAGAGAGACGGCATCATTGCCTGGAGCCCACCGTCTGGCACACTTCATGTCTGTTGCTGCACGTAGCTGAGTGCCAGAAATCCATCTGCACAGTGTAATGTACCCTTGGCATAGCAAAGTTCCCTCTGATGATTGGTGAGGGGCAGGCTGGGCTTCCCAGGGTGTTACCTCATCATAATCACTTGACTGTTTCATTCCGTGCGTCTCTACTGAGCCTCACCTACACATTGGAACAGCTGCTCATGCGTGTCGGACGGGGCTGGTTAGAATACTGAGGCAGTGGCAACGTAGAGGAATGGGAGAGGTTTGTGTTTCTCCCCCACTACGAGATCGATCTCCAGGGAGAATTTGCCGCATTAAATGGAACCTGGTACCACTAGATCCATATGGGTCAATTTCTGCAAAACCGTATGAGATGCGGCTTCGAGCGATCTCTGACCTCATGCGTACGGCGGTTGGCTTTGAAGGCAAGCCATTGCAAATGCCTTTCCACGTGGGACAGGAAGGGCGGCAGTGGAGTGAAGCAGAAGACCGTAGCAGGCAAAGGCTGGGCATGAGCAGCACTACTGGTGCGACTGATTGGACTCTGAAGCTGTGATAGTGACGTTCGACAGCACGTGAGTTGGGGCTTCAGAAGAAAGTTAGTCAGGCTTCTGGAGGGGAAGTGGAACATGTCTGTTAAAGAGTTTAACCCCATAAAACTTTCTAACAAAATCATTTAAAACCTGGCCCACGGTAGAAGGTGTGATTAGGGTCCATCTGTAACGCGAAGCATGTGCTAGTGCAGTTAATGCTTCTAACATATTCTTTCCCTTCTCTTTTTGTAACAATATATATGGAACATGCTGGGGTGGGGACCTTGTGCAGGAAGCCTGTATGCAGACCCCCCCCCCCCAGTAGGGGTTGTTTCTTGTGACTTTTAACGGTGTTCAGATTCCCTGCCTTCCTTTCCTATACAGAACGGGGTGTAGCTTGTCCAGCGAGGGGACAGAACCTGTCTTTTCAACTCTTCGTTTGCACATTGCACGTGGTCAGGTGCATGGAGCACGTGTTCACCTTGGCTGCTGTTTGACTCCTAGAAAGCCATATAGAGAAAGAGAAGGAGAATGTTCTCAGCAATACGTTGTCTGTCACAAGAGTGTAACCAACGGTGTAAAACTGGACAGTTTTGTAACTCATCTAAAATGCTGCCACTTACGTAAAGCTCAACCAGAACAGTTGTTCTGTTTTGTTTCTTCTTGGGACGAGATCAATGCGTAGATTTTTCCAAATCAAATAAATGGAACAATGTGGTTTTTGGAATTCGTTTTAAATTCCAGATTTTCTTTTAGTTTTTCCATTCACTGAAACATCACTTACCTTGTTAGGAAAACGCTGCGGGATAAGGTTTTATGCTGGCATACAAATTGAGCTAAAGGGTGCAGTGGTTCAGATTGCTAGGGGGAAGTGGGGCTTTCCATCAATGCTATCCCAAGCTGGATGACACTGTAGGGCACCGAGATGGGAGTCACGTGAGTTTTGTTATCTTAGCAGGACGGGGTGCTGTCGTACTTGACACACACCGGTGTGGTGCATTGCTCCTCTCACTAGGGTGCCTCGGGATGTCTCCTCTCAATCAATGTTAACTGTATTGGTTTCTCTGTGTGTGTGTGCGCGCGCGCACGCGTGTTACTGGCTTGTTCGGAGTTGGGTTTTGGTTTTTATGTTTAGCCAAATAAATGCAAAGTCATTTTACCCAACCCTTGTCAAACTGTGCCCGATATTTTCTTTTTTCTTAATTGGAGTGCTTTTAATCTCCCTTGATCTGCCGTCCCTTATTGGAAAGGTGGTCCAAGGTAGAACTCTTGAAGTCATCGCCTTTCTTAACAGATTTCCCACCAATTCCCCTTCCCCGTGCGAAACTAGCACTGAGCTACTGACCAAACGTGCCCTGTACAGCGCTGGTTAAAGCCGCTTTCCTTTACCGGTTTCTTACGTCAGACTGTATTCTACAGCTCTGCTAGTGCTGGGCCATTTTTTCTTTCTTTAATTCCAGCCTGGCAGCTGATTCTGTTCTGCCAAAGCAGAGGGAACATGCAGGCTGTGCCACGTTTGATCTGCAGTCAGAAAAGTGGCAGCAGCTTCCAGTGGAAAATAGAGCTCTCTAGGAGTCAGGATGCCTGGGTTCTCTGTTCCACCATTGTGACCTTAGACAACTCACTTAGCCCATCTGAGGGTTTGCTTTTCCCATGTGTGTAACTGGAATACTAATACCCCTCTTTGTGAAGGCTGTTGGGGCCTCTGGATGAGCAGTGCTGATGTTTCCATAATTAAAGCCAGCAGCTGGGGCCACTAGTTTTGTATAAAGGGGCCTGGTTTTTCACCCTTCCCCTGACTGCGTAAGTCCATAGCCTCATTCGTGCACCCCGGTGTTGGAATATCCCCATCCGTCTAAACCAATGGAAGTGTAGCCAAGCCCTCAGCTCTTTGAGCCCAGAGTAGGCAGAGTTTTAGCCCCCACTTTTTCCCCCTCAAAGGGCTGTTTACATGAAATGGAGTAGCCGCGTTCGTTCCAACAGCAATGAGCCCAGTCTAAGTGCCTGGATCGATTTTTATTCTGTATTTAGACAGCACCTGAGCGGTGCTAGGCACGTCACAGATTAGGCCCCTGGTTTACAGAAACTGTGGTTCGTATCCTTTGGATTTCAGACCCCTCTGGATGCAAATTGTTTCCCTCCTATATGTCACTTGCCAAATGAAGCGTCAGACAGCTACCTAGGGAAATATTCTCTCCCTGTGAAATTGCAGAGGGGACGTGTTTTGGCAACGTGGGAGGAACTTCTTGTGCCATGGCTCTGCTGTCAGAAGCTCCTTTGCGGTCACCGCTCCTTCCTGTCTAGGCTTTGCTTTCAATGTCCCCATCCGGCGGGCTGAAAGGTTGGTATCCTGCCTTGTCGTCCTGTTTTCTGTAGTACATCCTAGTCACCACCGTGATGATGAAGGTCTCCAGGATAAGCAACTGCATGCTCATGTCTGAAAACAAACCGTGAAAGAGCGGGGTTAGTTGGCGTGTCTGTCGTTACCGTTCTTCCCCAGTCGCTCCCCAGCCAGAACGGTACAGTCGGTTAAAGAAGTATGTTACGAGGGGAAGGGGAAATCAGGATTCACTAGCTCCCAGCAGTTACCAAACGGGGGCTGATATTTCCCTCTGGGTGAACAATTAATTTGCTCTTCAGAGCAGCAGAATTTCACTTCCATGCAAGTGAACGGTGCCTAGGTCTAGCTAGTGAGTAAGGCCTCGTTCTGCCTTGTCCCTCACCAAGGCAGGGGCCTAGTCACGCAGACCATGCGGTCACTGCGCTGTTACAAGAGTGCTGAAGAGACGCTGGCCTGGAAACAAAAATACAGCAGCAGCTGGATTGACTAAATTGACAGTTTCCACTTCAACACAGGCTGTTTTTCATGGGTGAGCAAACGGGTCGATGCTCCTAGTCTGCTGCTTCACGGCCCTGAAAATTCCAGCTGTCTTGCTGCAGCGGAGATCAGGGGTGGCAGGTTGGTATAAGTTTTGGAGGCGTCCACAACGGGTCCAAGTCCTGCCCTCCACCCCTACACACACCTGCCTTGTAAGCGGATATATATATTTTAAAACAATGTAAAAATGGACTGGAAACAGTACGCTTTTAAGTTTTCCGATATTGCACAATATCGCTATCTTAAGAAAAAATTATTTAACTAAGAATATCAACTTTAATAATACTCTTTTGAATATGGAAACAACCCAGTACTCTTGGATCAGTAATCCTCAAAAGCAGAAAGCTCTGTCTAATTCGTTATTGGATTCTTGATAGCCAAGATTCATGAAAACTGCTTTTCTTATCTTTTAGATTTGCCGCATCTTTCTTTTGTATAACTTCAGTTTGCGAGCTGTGTCTCGGACTCAGGCCATCACTTGATGAATTACCCTTTTTGTTCTTTTCTTTTTCTCTGGGTAATTCTATTAAGAATGTATCCATTGTTGATGATGATGGTTACACAAAATTAATGGTGTGGGGCTGAGGGGGTTGGAGTGTGGGAGGAGGCTCAGGATAGGGCAGAGGGTTGAGGTGTGGGGGATGAGGGCTCTGACTGGGGGTGTAAACTTGGGTGGGGCAGGGGATGAGAGGCTTGAGGTGTGGGAGGGTTGGGGAGTGAGGGATGCAGGGTGGGGCCCGGGATGAGGGGTTCACAGTGCAGGAGGGGGATCAGGGTTGGGGTGCAGGGGGTGAGGGCTCTGGCTGGGGGTATGGGCTCGGGTGAGGCTGGGGATGAGGGTTTTGGGGTGTGGGAGGGGCTCTGGCAGAGGGTTGCGGGGTGGGGCCCAGGATGAGGGGTTCACAGTGCAGGAGGGGGATCAGTGTTGGGGGTGAGGGCTCTGGGGTGTGGCAGGGGATGAAGGGTAAAACATTCCTTTCCTCTCCCAGGCTGGAGAGCAGGCAGAACTGGATTACTGGCATGGCTGTGGGGAGCATTACTGCTGGGGTTGTACACTGATTTAACTGGGTTTGTTGTTTTAACCATTATGCAAATATTTCAGCCTAGTAACCAAGCTGAAAGGAATCTAAAAGGGTAAATCTTCATTAAGGTGGACAGGGAGGTAAATGCAAAACTATTATTGGGGACAAGGCCAGCCTGAAAGCCAGATATTGTTAACAAGTGTTTCTGTACCTATTTATGGCTCTCTCACAGTCTGTGCATCTCTTATCTTGGACAATGAAAATCAATTAAAGTGCTTCCACGTTCTCAGTGTTGTAACGTTGGGGTTGCAAACACTTGATGGAAATTTGTCCTTGCTGTAAAACGAGTGTTTTCAATGGAATTTAAAAGAATAACAAGGGGGACATTTTTCTGTGGGTTTTAAGGGTTTGTTATTAGAAAACTATTTTTTTTTTAGATAAAGTGGAGTTGTCACCTTACTCGGGGCTTGTCCACACTGGGGTTTCACACTATAATAAACAGTGCCAGCACAAGTCATGGTTAATTGGGCATGGATTGTCTACACTAGGGGCTTGCACAAATGCAGCTATGTTGGTGTCGAATAACCCAGTGCAGACAATGCCTACAAGTCAGACAGTCTAGCGCCCACAGCAATGCCCCCCTAAGAACCACTTATAAAGAAAAGAGAAATGCGAACTCCGAAGCAAAGAATGGGGATGAGGGGTTCACAGTGCAGGAGGGGGCTCAGGGCTGGCGTGCAGGGGTGGTGAGGGCTCTGACTGGTGGTGCAGGCTGTGGGGTGGGATTAGGGATGAGAGGTTTGGGGTGTGGGAGGGGGCTCAGGGCAGGGTTGGGGAATGAGGGCTCTGGCGTGGGGCTGGGCCAGGGTTGAGGAGTTCAAATTTTGGAGTGCGGCAGGCAGGCTGTCCTGGGGCTGGGGCCAGAGAGGCGGACTCTCCCCAGCCCTCTCCCCACCAGCAGCAATGAGCTCCAGGGGAGGGGGCCCCCCTCTGCCCTGGCACGACACTCACCCAAGCCCCAGGCTGCTGCTCAGGAGGTCCAGACAGGATAAGCCCCCTTGGAGTTGCCTGCTGGGGGCGGGAGCTGCCATGCCGCTGCGCCTCCTCCCTCCACAGGTGCAGCAGTCAGCCGGCAGCGGCCAGCGATGGAGCACGGTGCAGAGCTGCAGGGGCAGCCGCCCGCTGCCCAGGGCAGGCAGGGACGCTCGGGGGAGGCGCACGGGGACGGCAGGCAGAACCAGGGAACGCTCCGGGGGAGGCGCGTGGGACCCGGCCTTGAACATTGGTGGAGCTGGGCCCCTGAATTTGCTGGAGCCCCTGGTGGAGATGCAGAGAAGGCAGTTATACTTTCCCTCAGGGAGTGCAATAAAAAGAGCTTCTCCTTTTTCTTTCAAAAGAAAAAAAAATTATTTGTGAAAATATTCCTGCCCCTCTGTGCCAGGGAGAGAGAGGCTGACTTCGATCCTTGGCCAGTTTTCGTCCTTAACTTAACCCAGGCCAGAGCCTCTTGCTACTCACACTGTGACCTCGTCTTGGAGGACAAGGGCGGGGCGCAGGCGATCTGCCCGCTGCTTGCCAGGATGCTCAGGATGGAGGGCTGTAGCGCAGTCAGGATGAGGAGCACCTGCAACCAGCAGAAGTGGGGATGAGAGAGCTGACTGCAAACTGGGGGACGCCTAACAGGTGCCGTGTTGGTGTATCCAGGGCCTACCCCCTTCCTTAGCGATAACGGTCTCATTCTATAAAAAGCAACAGAGAGTCCTGGGGCACCTTTAAGACTAACAGATGTATTGGAGCGTAAGTTTTTGTGGGTGAATACGTCTGACGAAGTGGGTATTCACCCACGAAAACTTACACTCCAATACATCTGTTAGTCTATAAGGTGCCCCAGGACTCTCTGTTGCTTTTTACAGACCAGCCGAACACGGCTCCCCCCTGATACTTTCTCATTCTAGGGGCTAGTCACTTTCTTCCCTACAGTTGGCCTCCCTAGGCCCCTGCAGCAAACTCCAGCTCGGCTTTGAATACACGTCCCCTGAGCAGCCTTGCTGGTGCTTTATGACAGAGACTCATCCGCTGAGTCTGTCACCACCTACCATATTCCTCAGCCGTTCGTGCCACTGCCCTGTTACCCTGCTCTATAGCTTTCAAAAGGGGGTAGAAGTTTTTTAATGTTTGTCCACTTTCCTGATACTTAAAGCAGCTACATTCTTTCCTGGGAGTACTCCATGCATTCCCATAGCAGGAGATGAACTGTGTCTGGAACCGTACAGGGGTTACACAGCCCAGCTTTGGGTCTCATCAATAACTATATTCCAACTATGGTGACCAGTTAAGTCTAAATACGAGCCCATCACCGATCCTGCCGTAACTTGGGAGTAACACAGTATCCTCTCTTTCGGGGCTGACTTCATAGGATCTTCTTCCTCTTTTCTCCTTGGTCCACAATTCTTGCCCTCCTCTCCTCCCCCCCCCCCCCCGTTTTTTTTATATCAATTTCTCCATTTTAAAATAATTTCCCCTTCCGTGTCTGCCATTTCAATGCCAGGTATCCTAGCGGGTGCTGGAATCCTGATCTGTCTTGATCCACCCTCCTATGTACTGCTGCTGCTCGCTCACCACATAGGGCAGGGGTACTTGTGGGAAACCAGGGTTGGTTTTAGGCACTGAGCTGGTCCTGTTGCTCATTCCACACCTGAAGCCCCTCGAGGACGAGGTAGTTTCGAGACGGGGGAATGGAAAGGCAGCCCGCTCTGGGTGGAGGGGTATCAGCCAGCCAGAACGTGGTATGCGGCGCATGTGGGCCGAGTGGAGTTTTGAAGAACCCAGTTTACAGGTGCAAAGGCCAATGGCCAGGAAAACGCTAACCACCACTCATCACCCTGAGCAGTGTTACCTGGAAACAAATGAACTTGGCGCCCATGTTCTGCTCTGCCAAGTGCAGCCTGGCCTGGCGAAACATGATCCCAAGGGCCCACAGAGCGAAGATGGTGGAGAAGCCGAGGCAGGTGTTGATCCAGAGTGCCACGCTCGCAGCGGAGATCTGCGGGGGACGGGAGAAAAGGAAGCAGGGCTGTGATTCCCAGGCCACAGTAGGAGAGCGGAGCAATGTCCAGGGTGGGGCACGGAGGTGCTGCCCGGATACCTATGGGCACCGGGGAGAGCTGGAGAATCCGAGCAAGACAGGCATCCCCACAAGTTGCTCTCACCTTCCCCTCCCACCGCACAGCCAGGGAAGCAGTCCCCCTGCTACTGCTGGGACAATGGCCCAGAGTCAGAGGTGGGGCTAAATGGGTACCTAACCCCTCTGCCTTCGATGGGTGAAGGGTTCTGACTTACATCAGCCGGATCGTAGTTTCCATCTGCAGCCAGGGCCAGCCCAACGAAGACACAGGCTGTCTTGAAGAAGGCGAATTGGAAAGTGCCCAGAAGAAAGAGTTTAAGTTTTCTCCTACGATGGCAACAGAGCGAGACGTCAGTGACCGCGCCGGAGACCGTCTGCTTTTTAGCCAGCCTTCCACCACCTGCCACCCTGCCTTTCCCTCAGGCCACTGCTAGGCCTGCAGAACGGGCTATAACGAGACTGCGAGCCAGACCCCAAAACTGCCTCGTGCAATTCATGGGGATTTCTAGTACAGCCCTTCCCTGCCGCTGGCCACGCACAGTGGACAGAGACCTGGCCTGATCTGTAAATCGTCCTGCGTCTTTCGCTTGGCTTGTGGTAGCCCCTGGGAGCCCTAGGCATAGACCCTGCCCCCATGGTGCGAGGTGCTGGACAAACGCCAAACAAAAAGCCAGCCCCAGCCCCCGAGCGCTGACCGGTTCCGCGTAAGACGAGACGATGGCTGGATCCAGACAGACGGGGGGAGTAGAAGGAAACAATTAGCCAAGACTGGCTCAGCACACCAGCAGCCTCATTGGTCAAGCTTGTTGTAGGTCTCACGGCAAAGGAGAGTATGAGGGAGGATGATGCAGATGTTTGGGGGGGGGGCTCCTCCCAAGCAGGAGGGGCAGCCCCCCCCATTCTCCACCTACCCGATGGGGGGGGGGGAGGAGCCTTGCAGCGTGGTGGGGAGAGGGTTTTCTGCCCAGCAGGGAGGGGGGTCTCAGGGCTTGAGCCCTGTGGAGCATACCTGCCGGGACTTGGGCCTGTAGTAGAAGCGGGGCTGAAGCCCCAAGCCCCGCCAGGCACCTCCCGTGGGGCTGGAGCTCCGCCAGGCGGGCCCCAGCTCTCGCGCTTCTGAGGATTGTGATATGTGGCTCAGAGGGCCAGTACGTTTGGCCACCCCCCCCCACCCCCACTCTCCACGGATCTACATGGGGAACAAAGATTGGCTAATGAGCTGCTCAGGCTGGTGGAGAGAAGTCCACCACCACCCTATGCCTGCCAGGCACAGCTAGAAAAATTCAGCCTGGGAACAAGGTGCCCGTTGTTAAGGGTGAGAGACAATAACCATTTTGGAACAATGTCTACAGTCGTCCATGCCAAGGCCACCAGAGCCTATTGTGAGCATCTAGGCCAGTGCTTCTCAACCTATCTACCCCTGCGGGCCACGGATGCAGCTCTCGATGGGTTACGAGGGTTGCAGCTGCTCACTATATCTACTGCCTGTTTGGCCCTGAGGATGTCGCACGAGCCGCAGCTGTGCACTGACTGGGCCGCGCACGGCTTGAGAACCACTGTCTGATCTCCTGTATAGCGCAGGCCAGAGAGCTTCCCCAAAGAATTCCTCCAGCGGACCTTTTAGGAAAACACCCAACCTAGATTTAAAAAGTGCCAGCACTGGATACCCTGGTACATTTACCCATGTTGGGGGGGGTTCCCCATCACTGACATTTGGGGGGCAGGTCTCGGGCCTGCGTTATACAGGGGGTTGGACTAGATGGGCACAGTGGTCCCTGCTGGCCTTGGCTGCACGTTGGCTGGCTCTGGCCCCGGTGATACCCCTGCTGTAAGGGGGTTCCCGGGCTGCCAGAGAGCTGCCGCCTTTGTTTGTGTCAGCGTGAGCAGGGCAGAAGGGGGCATAGCCAGGCAGCCCCTGCAGCCCCTATGCGCGGCTGTGGCTAATTCCCTGCGTGCCCTGCGGAGCAGCCTTGGGGCTGCTCTGGGTTGCACCAGGGTCAAACCAACGTTCCCAGGAGCACATAGGTGGATTGAAGCCAAGTGTCGCTCCTTCCCTCCACAGGGTGCTGCGCAAGCAGAGCTCAGCCGCGCCCGGGCATCTGGCCGGGCACCGTCAGAGGGAGTTATGGGAGTCAATGCACATCTTGGGGGAAGCTGCACTGCCCAGTATCTGGCTTCTCCTAAAGGGAGGGGCTAAGGAACCAGCATTCCTCCCAGCCACTGCTGTCCCTGGGTAGTGCCCCATGGCCCCCACCGGCAGCCTTACTTGGTCATGGTGATGCGCGGGCAGCAGGGGCAGCAGCAGCAGCAGGGGCCGGTGCTGATCACCATGGGCGTGTCCCTCAGTGCTTTGAGCAGGGCCTCCTTCCCGCCGAAGCCTTCCACCATGATCAGCATGAGCAGGTAGAAGCACATACTGAAGTACCTGGGGGCAGCACAGGCAGAGAGAATTCAGCCCGGGGAGGTGCAAACACCGCGGCACGGAGTCCTTTGCCCCCGCCGCCCTCCTGCGAGGCGCAGGGGCAGATTAACACACGGGCGCCCAGGGGCCCTGGGCCATTTCGCGACTCCCAGAAAAACTCTCATGAGGCTTGGGCAGCAGGATTTAGCAGCTGCATCCACTGCTCTGCGGGCGCGCACACCCCCCGTGGCCTCTTCCTTGGCTCTCCTCAATATTCAATCACTTCTCTCCCCCCGGCGGGACCTGTTCTCTCTCCTCCCCTTCCAGTTTTTTCCGGTGTCTTTTGGTGATTGCAAAATATATGGTGAGATGGAGGCTTTGGCTGGGTTTTTCATGCCTCCATCCATGGTTTTGAGACCTTTGGCTGCCCCTACCCTAATATGTCATGATGTAGCCTTGTTTACCCCACCGGAGACCTTTGTGGATCCCACCTCCCTGTGCATGTGGTTCGCGGCCTTGGGATCTCAGTGTGGGTTCTTGCCATGTCCATTGTGATAGGGCATTATTCACCCCCTGCTCAGCTGATATGAGGCCTTTCATAGTACAATTCTTCCACTTTGGCAGTGGATGGAAGACACAGTGCTGTTTACCCCCGACTGTATGTTTAAGCTCTTTGTGTTTCCCCCTCCCGCAGCATGAACTGATGTGGCTCTGTTTACACTGGGCCCCAGATTCCAGCCCCAACTCACTCAACTATGAACTTCCCAAATGAATGGTGGCCCACCCAAATTCACTTCACAAAGATGGCCAGTGGAATCAACTGCTGTCCTAGGCTAATGGTCATTGTTGCTATGGGAATGCCAAAGCCAAGCCGGGCTGGACAAACCCAGATAGTTATAGAAATGGGAGAAATGTATCTTGTGAGGCCCTTCAGTTCCAGTGACTTATTTCCCTCCGTTACACCGATGAGGAGGCACTGGGAGAAGGGAGCGATGAATATTCCCTCTCTCTGGGATTATTGGACAAACTATATTCTCGTTGGCTTAGTAATGACCGAACATGCTGTTGTGTGCTCTGGCTAATCAGAACCTGGCCTATTCTGCAAAGTGTGATTTAATGTATACGTACCCGCTAGTTTCTGATTAAGTTTTAGGACTAACTATTTCAGCTAATTGGTAAAATGTCACCTTGCTCATGGTTTGACCTGAACTGCCTTTGGCAGAAAGCCATGAGTCACATGGTACCCATCCGATTCTTTCAGCATTTCTTCATAGCTGAAGTGATCAATTGCAAACCTTGCTTTAAACCAGTTCTCACCATTGACTGAAACTTACAGTTCTGAATACCAGAGTAATTTTACCGGTTCGGATTATTTCTTTTAATTGTTACTTTCTGGAATGGTGCCTGTTGTCTTTCAGACAGCAGAAAAACTGAACGATAACACGATCAATAGGTGGGGAAAATGCATAATGCTCGCCTTTAAGAAAATTGGGGGAGATGAAAGAACCGCTTGTTAGTCTGTGAACAACTGATTCTTGTAACATGGGGGTTGTCCAGGTTAGCAGTGGGATGGGATGGATAATATCGAGCTAGATTCATTTTCTGTGTGGAAAAATTGAGCAGTTTATATAGGCATAAGGAACCGGGATGGCAATTGCTTCATTAGTAAGGCCGTGTGTAAACACTGCATGGAGTCGTCGTATTAATACAGTTTGATACAGCCGTGTTTTTCATGGAGGGGGCAAACGTTCTTTGTGCCCAGGGCCCTAATAAATCTTAATCTGCCTCTGGCTAGGTGAGAAGCAGCCGGATCAGTCTGAGCTCCCCAGGGCGTTAGCAATACTCACATGCCAATAGCCATCTCCACCACCATCATGGAGCGTGGGATCCAGAGCCCAAAGCAGCAGAACACGGAGACCATCTGGAGAAGAAGGGGGGCAGGCCCAGTGTGAACGGGAGGGAGCCGGGCATGCTCCAGACCGGTTCCCTCACAGGCCCTGGGGTAGGCGGGTGAGTGGATGGCAGAGATGGGCCCACAGCACAACGCTGGCGCTCCACGGGCCGGACCGTTTACAATCCACGCTCTGTGGAGCTGGATTTTGAATTGGTCCCTGGCTCTAGAGTGGTCTCGGCATCTCGTCACCCCCGCAGCATGGGGGAGCTCAGAGCCCCGTCATGATCCCAGACCCCCCTAGGATATCTGCAGTGCCCCAAAGTCTGGATCCACTCTCTGTGGATGTAATTAACCAACCCAGCACGGTCCCCGCCCCCCCCCCCCCACGCGGTGCTAAAGCTCCAACGCTCACTCCCGGCCCACGCTGTCCACCAGCACAGCAGGATCCCACAGCTTGGCTGCGAACGCCCGCCGGGGTCCCCTCCCACACAGCGAAGGCTAGGGCTCACCGTGGGGGCCGAGCTGCTCCAGATGAGGGTTTTCATCTTCACCTGGCAACGGATCTTCTTTGACAGGTAGATGGCTTCCTCGAGGAAGATGGCGACCGACACCAGCGTCAGGAAGGTCATGAGGGCCTGGATGGAGAGCTCGACGGGGTTCAGCTCTGCAGGGGAGGGAGGGGATGAGCGAGACCTCACGGCCGTCTCTCCCATGCAGTGCAAAAGCCCCCTGGAAATCCAGGCATGGGCCCTCTAGCATGAGATGGGAACACGCCCCAGGGAGGGTGAGTGAGGGTTGCCCAGCCTTCCCTCTGCCTTTTCTCCCCTGTCCTCTGGGCTGGGTCCCTGCCCCTCTCCACTCTCTCCCTCAGCCCCACAGCCAGGAGCCCTTTCCCCGTGCCCAGCACAGGAGCTGGCAGGCTGGAGAGCGGCGTTGCTCTGTGACACAGCCAATATTCAGTCCCGGATCAGTCTAACTCCTGCTCCCCACCCACCCCGCCCTGCCCGCACCCATGGGGCAGCGCCCCCCACGTACGGTTCAGCAGCTGCAGCGAGGTGGGCGGCTGGGAGACACAGGCCAGGGGGACGCTGAAATTCTTAATCAGCAGCTCGATCAGCTCAGGTGGGATCCTGCAGGAAAACCAGGCCCCCAGTTAGCTCCGTGCTGGGGCTGGGGTCCAACCCCGCCCGTGGGGAGGGATCCGAGGGTGCGAAGCGGCCCCAGCTCTTCTCGGCCAGCTTGCACAACGGGTCATCGGCCAAAGTCGCCCAGCCCAGCCACATGCGGGCTAATCATGCAGCTTGGGCCCCTGCAAAGTCCCATGGCCACTGGGAGCACTGCTGGCCTCCCTGGGTGGAAAGCCCCCGATGGGCAGCGCTGATTCATAACCCCCCCAGCCGGGGCAACAGCAACCTAGCGGCTGCGCAGGGACCCCTGTGAAATGAGCATGGCAGGTCTCAGCCCAGTTCCCTTAGAGCAGGCGCCCCAATGACTAATCACCCTTCACTCGTGGGGCCTGGCTAGGCATTTCTGGGGGGCCTGTGACTCGTGGTAGGAGGTGACCAGCGCTAAACGCCCCCGAGCTGTGCTGGAAGGAGCTCTCCTGGGGGAGCCCCCGTGGAGGAGCGGGGTGACACGTCCTGCCTCACCGGGTACTCAGCCATCCATGACAGAGGGGACCTGCCCCTGGCTTATAAACAATGACACCAAGTGTCTGGACATTTCCTGAGGGCATGGGGGGGGGGGATTCACCCTCATCCTTCACACAGTCGTCACACACACCCCACCAGTGCAGAACCAGGCAGCTGCGCCAGCGAGGAGCTGCTCTGCCCACAGCCTCACCGTCCCCTACCTGGGGTCGGGTACGAGCTCTGCCGAGGACTCCATGCTGCCCCTTTCCCCGGGGATCCGGCTGGCTCCTGTTCACGCTCCGCAAGCCCTGCTGCTCGCTGGCTGGCGAGAGGCTCTAGCAGCGTCTGGCAGGCAGGGGCAGAGTCCCAAAGGTCAGCGCTCGCGGGCAGGGCTCCTGCAGCCAAGCGTGCCGGGCCTCGTACAGTTGTAACTCCCCCTCGGGGGGGGGACGGATCGGCAGGCACGACTCGTCCCCCGTAGGTAACCGGCTGCGGCTTGTCTGGGGACACGGACGCTCCAACTAGCAGATCAAATTCAAGGGTTACCACGAATCTCAGTCAATTGGTTTGCAGGCATCAAATAACCTCCCTCCCCCGCCTTCTCCGTATGTGTCAGGAGGTTCAGTGGAAGAGAAAGTGGCTCATCCCCGCTCTGCAGAGAGGAGCTGTCCCGGCTATCGGCTGCCAGGTTATTGACCTGGGGCCCGCCAGTGCTAACCAGCCGGGACTGGGGGACTTTGCATCCGCAGCAGGGAGGGGACGGCATTCCAGCGCGGAGAAAGTGGAGTTAATGCGGAGTGTGCGTGGGCGCATGGCCATGCGTGTGTTTTGTGGGGTGAACTCTGGCCCCCCTGCTCAGTCATTCAGAGAGCCCTGGGGGTGACAGTGGAGGGCAAAGCAGACAGGAGTTTGCCGTGTGACCCGGCTGGGCACCAGGGCAGTTCAGCTCTGGGCTTTGCAGCGGTGAGCCCATGTGGGCCTGGTCCGTGGGGCTGGGCAAAGTGGAGAGAGTTCAGCGAAGAGCCGGGGGGAGGGGAGGGAGTCAAGGGGGAGCAACTGAGAAGGGAAAACGAAAGGAGCAGAACAGGCTGAAACAGGTTGAGCAGCAGCTCAGGGCGCAAGGGATTAATTAGAGGCCTGAGGGGGGGGCACTCGCTGCCGTGGGGTGGAATTAAGAAAGAGAAAACATGGGCAAGTGTCCAGAGAGTGAATAGTTCCCCCGGAGCGGCCCTGTTGCTTGGGACATTTAACGCTAGACTGGACGAACTGCCAGCAAACGGGCCAGGGAACAGCCCGGCCCCAGGAAACGGACCAGCGCAGCAAGTGGGTCATTTCCGTCTCTAACGTCCAGTCCTACCGATGGAATCACAACTACCAGCCTGGGCTCCCAGTGGCCGCTGGCTTCCCCTCCCCAGGTGCTGAGCAAAGTCCCGGTGAAACCTTCTCCCAGGGACGCGTCATGGTCTCTCCGCAGCAGGGTTTTGCCGCCGCCCCAGGGCAGTTTTGCAGTGTGGGGTGTAGGAACCAACCAGCCCCCAGGCTTGGCTTCGCTCTGATTTGCACCAGGGCCGAGCTCCGAGTAGGGGTCCGGCCTGTAGGCACGTGGGGATGAGCTTGGAACTGCCAGGGAGGACGTATGAATATTGTGTGTGAACCAGGCTCCCCGCGGAGCAGTGCTGGCAGGAGACGCACCCAGGAAGGGGCGGGCGGTGGATCCTACCCACACCACTCAGCCGCTGGAGAACAACGCACAAGCCTTCACCTTGATTCACTGGGCCTGTCAGGCTGGTTCCCCTGGAAGTGAACTGGTCCCTGTGGAGTGGGGTCGGTGCCTGGGAATCAAAAGACGTGGGGGAGTTTGAGACACTGAGGCAATGCCAGGGTGGGGGGCCGGGGGGTGTCACATGCCCAGCTGGATTTCTGCCTTCCCTATCGCAACAGCTAAATGTCCCAAAGCGGCTAATGCAGAGGGGCCACGCAGACTCTGCCCCACCCCACTACATGGGACTGCTTCTCCTTCCCTGCTGGGGGGGGGGGGAACGCCCCCCTTCGGGGAGGCTAGCCTGCTGGCCCTGCCCCTTCCACCTGAGGCCCTGCCCCATAGCTCCCCTCATCCCCCCACCCCCATGGCTGGAGCCTCTCCCACCCCCTCGCGACTGGAGGAGCCCTGGCTGGCCTGCCCCAGCCGTGCTGGCCGACCCCAACCCCTGCGGCCTGCCCCAGTTGTGCCAACCGGCCTGACCCACCCCAGCTGGTCCAACCCCCACTGGCCAGCCCGTGCCACCCCTGGCTATGCTGGCTGGCCCTATTCCCAGGCCAGAGGCTACTCTCCCTCCCACTCCTACGGCAGGGGCTCTGCCCGGGGAACCCGCTCCCCTCGCACTGCTGCGGGGCTCGCCCGGCCTTCCATTTAGCAACAGCATCTACGGTGCGCCAGCCGTTGGGGGCGGAGACGGCACGCCCTCCCCGAGCCTCCCCATGCACACGGGCTGCCCCCGGCCGCCTGGCGTCGCCGCTCCCCCCGAACGTTCTAGAGGTGATGGCTGGGGGGCAGTCATGTGCCCCCCATCACAATTACGTATCACTTCTGTGCCCCACAATCCCACAAGGAGAGAGCAGGGTTTGGAGTGGAGGATGCTGGCCACATCCTCCAACTCCCATCGATTTCGTTTGAAGTTAGGAGACTTGTGGGGATCCCAGCACCTGCCGAGCGGGCCTGGAAAACTTTGGCCTCCCTGAACCCCAGCAGGAGGACATTGGGCGCCAGGTGTGACAGCCGTGCACGGGGTGGGATTAAAGCCCTTTTCTCCGAAGCGCTCTGCTCCTGGGGTTAAACAAACAGTTCTGGTTGGAGAAAGGCTGGTTCAGGTCAGTGGCAGCCACAGGTCACAGCTAGGGTTGCCAAGTGTGAAAGTGAAATGAATTATATTAAAGAAACAGAATGAATTAAAGAATGCTGTATGTACCTTTTAGTAGAAATGAGAAATGCTGCAAGCCAGGGGGGCAGGAAAGCAGACATTAACTGCTTAACTTGCCACTTAAGGGCAATTGGTGAAGCATTAGTCTTAGATCGATAAGAGTTAACAAGGAAGCAGGATATGCATATTATGCTCCATGCATATTTTACAATTTTGCTCTCTCTGTCCCTTTGTTTAGTTCGCACCCTTTTACCTGTATAAATAAGACTGTTTGAATCTTGCATGGAGGCTCACATTATCTGAATGTATTAGCAGAGCGCTGTGCTAATAAAACAGAGTGGTCTGACAAACTATGAGTCCTGAGTCTAACTTTGACAATTTGCAAAAAGAAGAACAGGAGGACTTGTGGCACCTTAGAGACTAACAAATTTATTAGAGAATAAGCTTTCGTGGACTGCAGGCCACTTCTTCTTATAAGTATAGCATGGAACATAGAATGA